ACGTAACATCACGGTAAGTGGCCTTTCTGTTCAATATGGCGTCTATTTGAAATTTTGATCTTCATTAATACTTTAACCTTTCTTTTCCACCGAATAATAAAAATATTCTAACATAAAATACGTCCAGGCTCTGAAAGGCGAAGTCGCCGAAACGTCAGCCATCGATCAATAACATCAAAAACAAAGACAACGACAACGAAGACGTGTACCAACCTCGCGTCAGCTTAAGAAGATCAGTTTATAAAATCACATAAATAAATATTCCTCAGGACAGTTTTCATTTTCATTTCGTTCTCCTATTCCGAAGTTCCTCACCCTATATTCATTCTCGCTGCTCGTTCCTGTTTTGGAATCCAGGTCTCCAACAAAGAATTTAAGAACTCGTAAATTATTCCCTCCAAATAGTTGTAAAACGTGTCTAGTTCGCTCTGATCAGCTGTACAAGTTGTTGCATTTGATGATGCTTACTTCCTTTCGAGGTGCAAGTTGGAGTTGAAGATCGCCAAGCGCGGTGACATGGTTTCGTATGAGGTCACTAGGTGGGAAATGGATGGGTGTACGACAAAGTCAACGCCTCCAACATTACGTGACGGAAATTTCCCTCCACGAATGAAAAAAGTCTCGTGTCCACGTTGAAATTGACGTTTCCCGTTCTTCCTGCTTTTCGTTCCTCGTAGGGCGATCACATGAAATCTGACGCGAGCGGCGGCTTCAAGAAGAGCGTATGGGTCTGCGTTTGAAGGGACTGCTTTGGTGTTATAGGTGAGTCTCCACGGCGCATCGTGGGCGCACCCGTTTTGGGCGTTATTAATGAAATCCTGTGAAAACCAATATTTTACCGCCTCTTAAAGGTTGCCTTACCGTTATGAGATCATAGACATCCTCGAGACGGGATATGTGGGAACACCCAGTGTTCGGAGTACTGTAGCGTGAATTTTACTGGTTTAGCCACTTGATTCCCCGAAATCTCTAGGGAATCCCAGCCGAAGCCTTCCTCAGAACTTCACAACCCACGCAGTCACTGCTCTTGTGGACCAGAGGAAGATTTGGCACCATACGACCAATTTGTTCCCAGGTGAAATATGATCATAACGATGTCGAGATATGAGCAAAACTCGGAACCTCACGAAAGCTTCAAACCCACCACACCAACCAAGGCTCTTGCTTCTCTTTTCCCTCTGCCACATTATATTTTCTCTTACATTATGTTATTATGTTACTAGGTTATACTGTAATGTTAGTTTTGTTGTGTCGTTAGTACTTCATATTTACGTTTTCTTAAATCTCACCCTTGTTTCACCGTTTTTTTTTTGTTGACTACTGATAGAACCCACAGAATAAAAACATGACTGGGATAAAGGGAAAGCTGGTGTCTCGACTGGTGTGTTGGGCAGCACATGAGCCCCCAATAAGGGTAATCGCGTGTTCGAAGCCCTCTTGAGATTCCCATCCTGCTAATATCTTTGGATCCCTGGAGTTATATAACATATAGTACCTGCCAGAAATAAAGACTAGTCAGCAAATAAAAGTGTTCTCTATAGTAACACTATTCTATAAGATTCGACCCAAAGAATTTGCCACAACAACAACAACAACAATAGGACATCTCTCACTGTGAAAGGATTTATCCACCGATGTTTAGCTCTTAAGACACATGTGGGTGATACCTGCAGCATTCTAGATAGAAAGGTATACATTAATATCAAATAGGAGAGAATATTGTTTACGCCCTTATACAAAGCATTTGCCGCACAACAGTGATCTATGGGGACGATCCAAAGGTCAAAACTGAACAATATTTGCACATACCGACGCAGCATAAAATGACCGTGGTCGGCTGGTGGGGCTCATACGTCGGCGTTTCTGCCATTCAGCATCTCCTTTCTCCTTTTCTGATGGAATTATGTTATCATACTTCATTGCAGAGAACGTCTCTTGTAGCTACTGCCCTTGTATAGTAACTTGCCATCACAACTCGACTGTTTCTCTGCACCAGCATACTTGGAAAACTAATAGTTGAGAGACATTCTGTAGTTACCTTGCACGTTAACATCTGTATTCGGCTGAATACTGTTTTAGTTTTCACTTTCTCGCTTAAACTCGCATTGTAGATTTCAACCGTTGTGCTGTCCATAAATATAAGCAGTATTAATCACTGTTGCACGTGACGTTCATCACTGTTCTAATAACCACCGATGCCTTTAGGCTAATTTGATCACGTATGTGTCTCCTACCACATTAATCTCATTGAACTGTTGTTGTTCCACTCTATGTGACATTTGTTCCTCATATTTCTTCACCAGTTTAATGCAAAAGCGATTTTCGCTACCAACCAATTAGTCCCAATTCTTCCCAAGCTACCATTTGATCCTTACCATTCTTGGTGAAGTTTTATTTTATGTGGAACCACTTTCTCATATTATTCCACCAACCTGTGGCAGAGTAACTTCCTTATACTAACGAAACTTCTTAGTTCATTATCTTATCGTTATTTATTTTTTACTTCTTATTTTTATTTGGTCCGTCTTCACGTATACTGTGCGGATTCCAACACTTCTCACTTCCAATTCGTTTCCTCGCATCCATCGTCCACGAAGATCTTCCAAGTTTTTAAGTGTGGTTTCGATTGCTGCTCGAGGATTTTCATTTCATCTTGAATGTCGTAGAATGCTGGTCGAGCAATCCTCCCCGGAGTTCTGAGATGGCCGGACTGGAGCGTTCCCAATTGGATTGCAGAGAGTGATTCTTTTCCAGAGAAGTCCGGTAACAATTTGCCGACCCCGGAGGGATGAGAGGCTTGGTTAACCAGGAGCGCAATCGAACTAGCACCTTGTCCGTGATGATGGACATCACTAACTCTGTGCCACTTGTCATTTATTGATCCTACTATCATCTCGTCGTGTAGTGGCAATGGTCCGAGGCGCCCTGCAATACAAATTTGATCGATCCCTTCACCCCAAGCTACTTACGAAGTCGGTAAATTGCTTCAAGACTTGTCTGAGAGGATGTCAGCATTGGCTCGATACATCGGTAGGCCACCGCGAGTCACTGTAAAGGCCAGATATGCATTCGATCACCTCTAACGATGCTTAACGAAGTCGAATGCACGGCTCTTTCTCTCAGTGATTGACCTTTATACTTTTTTATCCTTTTATTATCGTCTCGTCATTTGTGTAGTCTTAGTATTGACATAAAGCATAAAGGATAACGCTCTCGGCGTTGATCAATCCCTGACAGATGCGCCATGCATTCGACTTCATTAAGTATCGTTTGAGGTGATTGAATGCATATCTGGCCTTTACAATGACTCGCGATGGCCTACCGATGTATCGAGCCAATGTTGCTATCCTCCCAGACAAGTTTAGTACCAATTTGCCGACCCCAGAGGGATGGAAGGCTTGGTGGGCCATGGGCGCTGGGATCGATTCCACGTGTGTGTTGCAGTGGCGCCTCCAACCACGGCGCCTTTATTGTCATATCTTTATTACTTTACTACTTATTATTGTTTTAAACTGTTTGATCATCCCAGTTTTGAGATTTCCACTATGAAGAAAACAACAACAAGACCTGCGTGGCAAAGAACGAGCAGACTCAAGCAAGCGACTCAACAGAGTGTGGTACTTCATACAAAGGAGTAAGCCAGCCTCCAGAATTCTCACTCAAAACTCAACATCTTGGGTCCACCTAACAACTGCAGCTTTATAGACCAACTGTAGTAGCATGAAGCTACAATTTCCATTTCCTGACTCTTACTCACAGCCACTCAAACGCTGAGATAAACAGCTATATATTACAGAATTTTCAAACAGTAGATATCACGACACAACCACTTTCGACAATCTAGCAGAGGCATACTAACGAGTAATCAACCAATTCGTCGTTACACTACCCTACATTGATTACTCCACTAATGAACTACTACAAGTGAGTCACGAATTAGTCACTACAACATTGGTGCACTGGTCGCATAAACTGCTACATTCTGCCTCATCCATCTTACTCAGACTCGCCTATTGACTATTATTTCTCCAAGTATCTCGAAAACTGTCCCATAAACGCTTCAGAAAACAAGGCAAGACCGAAATCACCCACGACGACTTCATCGCGCCCACAACTGTAGAGTTTTAAGCAAGTCGGATAAACAAACTTGTTCTTCGTGAGCTAAAATATGTACGTCCCAATGGTTATTATTTCTATTAATAACGTTTGGTGTGAGCTTAGATATGTCACTGTATTTATTTCCGAAAGTTCAGTCTTGAGAATAGGAAAGTGTTCCTCAAACCTCCCTTCCAACGACGCCGTATTGAGACTACAGTTTTACTGCTGACTTTTGAAGCGTTTTGAATAATTAAAACTGGATCAGAAATAATTGTGGTGCTATAGTTACTTAGTCTTATCGTGTAATTTCTTCTACCGTACAAAAAAAAACGATATGACCTAGCCGGTGTGGACAAATTGCTATCAGGTATGTCTGAGAGGGGGGAAGAAAACATAGACTAGACTCTCGTAAGTTATTGTGTAGGCCAATAACTCATTCAATATTCATTCCTTTACAATGCATAGTCCAGACGGATACACGGTACATCTCTATATGGTACTAATCATCATCAAACCCTCTTACCATGCTACCTTTTACAGAAATGACTCAAAATGGGAATTATTCTAAAATATGTATTCTGACGAACTACTCACTAATAGTCAATATCTATGTAAACTAAAATCTTTTTAAACAAAAATAACTTGTTAAAAAATGAAAGAAGAAACTCACCGGGCCATGTGGATACCTTTGATGCGTGTTTGGAAGAGAACGAACAGGAAGTGGTGCTTGGTTGCTTACCTTAAAAACAATAACGATGAAAATGCAAGCAAGCAATGTCCACAAGAACTTTTCAATGTATTTAGGTATTTCTTTAACCATTTACCTGTCCGTATTGATGACTGTTAGAACTTGCCACCTGCACTGGTAACGGGCGCTGTTGTAGACGCTAAAACTACATTATTTAACAACACATCATGAGCACGTAGTAGATGATAAAATGAACAAGTAAAAGACACACTTGCTGCTCTTGAGCAGCAGCTGTAGCCTGTCCGTGAGCTCTAGCTTGTGAAATTAACTGGTCTAACACGGCAGGAGAAGGCGATGCTGGTGATGAATCGGTAGATGACGGGGTCCCACATGCACCTAATAAACATCACTCTCAAAATGAGAACTGGAAAATTTTATCTAATAGAGCATACTAATCTTTACAAGAGTACTAACCCGGTTGTTTCCTATGGGATTGATCCACATGGTTTGACAGGCCGGCAGTAGTCTTATATCTTTTAGAACATTGGTGACACTTATATGGTCTAGATCTGGAAATTCCAACAAGTCTAATGGAAAGAAAAATGTGGGAAAATGGGGAAATATTAAATGGAACATATAAAAGCCTTAATACAATAGATGACAAACGCTGCGTATTTGGTAGGACTGATTGTGATAGGAAGGGGTTCGTTTTGAGATGAAAGACGACTTCCAGATCCGTTTGCAATAGACTGACTACACAGAATATTTTCTTGCAAAACCACACCATGCGCAGTTCGAGAATGCAGTCTGGAACATTTGCAAACCATCGAATCCAACCAAGCAATGAGCAATTTTGGATTTTCACGCATGGTAAGAAGGAACAATATCACCCACCTAAGGCCTGACCCCGTTCTGAATCTCTTTTGACATTCACTAACCATGCAACAATAACGATCCTCTTGTTCGCTGAAATTTCAGTAGATATCACTCCACTTTAAACGTAGAGACGACGATTCGGTAAAGAACGAAATCTAAGAAACATACTTAGGACCACATTCGCCAAGATCTTCCCCATTTGAATCGACTGAAGGTGGCTCTTCTGAATATCAAGTTCGTTTAATTGCAAAGAAGAAAAATTGAGCCCTCCATAGTTCATTCAAGATAAGAACACGTAGTTTTTGTTCCTTCTTTTCCTCCTCGCTAATAATACACTAATGAAGGCACATAACAAAAGAAAACTTTTAAAATTGACAAAAGTTGGGGACCAAAGAAGTAATACAGAAGCAGCCAACTAAAGTTAGAAATATTGGAAAACTACAGCAGATAAAAATCAGGGTACAAGGAATATATTTGCTCCTTCTTTCGTTTGCTTTCAAGGGTTTAAAGCGAGCACTTGATATTAAACCTTTATTTCCTGCCCACTATAATTTCTCGTGGCAGGGTATGATATGAAATACAACCATACCGATGCTGAGATATTCGCAAAACATGGAACTCCGATCTGTAATACGCAAACCCCTTGAAGGAGTAATCGTGATTCGATTTAAACCGGGTCCAAGTTTTGCGATTATCTCAGCATCATTTTGGTTGCATTTCACACGTATTTAATTAAAAGCGAATCACATAATCAATCCAAACAATCCTTCAAAACCCTGCAATGTTATTCGATACTTAAACGACCAACTACCGCCAATAACCCTGTTCATCACCTGTACCACCCATAGTCCCATTGATCGTCGAATGACTTGAGTGGGTGCCAGTAAATCATTTATTTTTCCCTGCCGCGTGAAAGAGTAGCCCGGTGGGTTCTGCTCGCTCTATGGACTCGTCGAGCATCATATCTTTCTTCCAGGCTTCTTGTGATAAACTCTGACCATTGGCTCGGTGGTCTTCCTGCAGAGCGTTTGACATCCCGAGGAATCCAGTACCCAACGGCCCTTCCCCATCAGTTGTCATTCATACGCATTACTACGTAACCGGTCCGCCTTATCTTGGACTGTCTGGCGTACAGAACAGCATCTTTTATTTTTGATCGTTGATGCAGGTCGCAGCTTCGGATCCCAACCCTTACTTGTGTGAAACGGGATGCTCCCAACATCGTCCTTTCGACTGCGCATTCAATGACGCTGAGTGATCTTTCATCCTGCTTACGCAGCGACCAGGTTTCTGATGGACACGTTAGGGTAGGAAGTACCGTTCAGTCAAAAAGGTGGGCATGTAGTCTGGTGTTCTCTGTTCTCCTCACTACACCCTCGATGCTCTTAAAAGCTCCCCAAGCCGCGCGTTTCCTTCCGCTCAACTCTGGAGTTAAACCGTTCATCATGTTGACTTCCCGACCTACACAGATATAACTACACCATTCGGAGAAATTCATTCCGTTGAGTGTGAATGGGACATACGAATCCAATCCATTCCTTATGAACATCGTTTTTGTAAGATTTAGTCGAAGACCAATCTTTCCATAGACTTTATCAAAGTCGTCAGGCATACGTTCCGCTTGGCTGTTTGGTGTTACCAGGGCGATGTCATCAGCAAAGCGAAGACTGTGTAATTGCCGAGCACCGATTTTCACTCCCATATTATCCCATTCCAACGCTCGAATGACGTTCTGGAGCGTGGCGGTAAATAATTTTAGCGAGACGGTATTCCCTTGTCTGACCCCTCTTTTGAGGTCGATGTTAATATCGTTGTAGAGTGGTGATATCTTGGTTGTAAAAATTTTGTACAGCTCACGAAGAATCTTTCTGTACTGAGTAGGGACTCCCTGACTATCAAGGGCTTCCATGACTGTTTCTATCCCATCTGAGTCAAATGCCTTCTTCAAATCGATGAAAATGTGATACAGCGGTCTTTTGTACTCTCACGATACTTCAATGAGTCTTGTTATCGCGTAGATATGGTCCATCGTACTAAATCCTTCTCGAAATCCTGCTTGCTCACATGGTTGCTCTTCGTCCAGTGTTCTGTCAATCCTGTTTACGATGACTCGAGTGAAGAGTTAGTAGACGACAGACAACAAGCAGATTGGGCGATAGTTACCGATATCGCGTAGGTCACCCTTCTTGAACAATAACACGGCCATGCTGATCTTCTACTGAGTAGGGACTATGCATTCAAACAGGTAACGTGTGAAGAGCCGAGCCAGTGTGTTAACGAGGATTGGTGGAAGGTTTTTCAGGTGTTCTAGTCTTATCCTGTCCGTACCTGATGCTCTTCGATTTTTCACCGACGAAATGGCATGCCGGATTTAGGAAAGGAGAACCGGTGGTACAACATATCCATCCACCTTTATTTCAAATAACGGAAAGTGGACGTGACTATCGAAGAGATTTGAGTAGTATTCGTGAATGATTTTCTCCATTGTCTTTCTGGACTGTTCCGTCCGGGCTTCGGAGTGCAATCATCTTGGTCTTGTAATTGGCGAAGTTTCGACGGGCTCTGCAAATGCCTTTCCTAGTTTCTTCAACTTCGACCATTACTACTGCTCTTCTCTCTTTAAGATCTTCTTTTATCGCCTGTCTGCATTATTTTGCAAGTTCGGATCTCTGCAATCCTGTTCACAGTACCGCATATGCTATTTAGCTGGTGCCGAAGTATTTTTGTAAAGATTTCCCCGGATTTGGGAGTAACCCATGCAATGAGATTTAGGGCTCGTATCACTATTAGTCAGTGGATCGAAAAACATTTCCCCTCACCTTTTTCAACAGATATTTGCACATCAAGCACACTCTTTCTATACACCTTCCAAAACTGCCACACTTAATCTCCAAAACTATGTACCTTTCTTCGACGTCGATGTCGCTAAATTTTCAACAACAGAAGGTCCATTAGCTGAAAAGCAAAGTTGAAGTCGAAGTGGAGATCACGAAAAAATAATTGGCCTACAATCAAGCTGCCGCTTCCGATAATGATTGAAAGTTATACGAACAACATCAGGAGCACATGGTTGGGGATTGTAGGGCATTCGAAATAGTCTAAACTGATAGGCTTAAAACATCCCATGCACAGAATTATGTATCATTAACGCAATGGAACCGTTCAAACCACCTGTAAACGCAACTAAGCGGCATGTTTGGTGTAGCGGAAGTACGGTTCTCTTCAGGACAACATTGTGTCTGACTCACTTTCTGCCTGTACTCATCCTCGAGCGGAGCTAGAGAATTCAGTTCCTTAGAAGAAAAATCGGTACGATAAAGGTTATAAAGGAAACTTACTAATATGGGTAAACTCTATGTGAGCAATGAGATCGTCTGTGTTAGCAAAGTACAACTGACAACCACCAAAACTGCATCTATTTTGTGACAATAGTGAAAGTGCCATAAACTAGAACATTTCGTACTTGTTAAAACGAATCACCAGCTGCAAATATCATGGCAAAGAAACACCAAACTCTAGAAAAAAGGAAAACACCCACGTATTAATTTATTAATTAAACAGTAAAATTATACCCGGAAATCTAGATAAGCTGTACATAAAACAATACATTTAACAAAGACTAGCCAGCACATTGAAAAAATGGTGCAATCAGATTTCCTTTAGGCATTTCGCAAACCTGAACGACCTATGATACGGAAACCACAAGTCATTCTGAAAAAGTGGTACCAAAGAATGCAACAGCTACCAGCTTTCACAGCTAAGAATCACAGTTAGACGCTTACTAATAAAATATATGTCAGTATAATTCAAGGAATAAGTGAACCGGGTTTTCAATAAGCTCACAGCCATGTAATTGACAATCTCCTGAATATATAATACACATCACGAATACTGTTACAAACTGAACAATGCAGAGTCAGCTCAAGATTTGTAACTTTCAGGAGGTTGATAGACGGTAGAATGAGGTGACCAATCAGTAAAAACTACACAGCACTTCGGAAGAAAAAAGAAGTTACTGATAAACATCCACTAACTTATTGTTTGAGATCGAACTTGCAGACGTTCGTAAATGGCCACAAATCTCGAGAACCAGGTCCGTTGCACGTGAAATTCGCAACTGATTTGCTTCTTCAGTAGTCTTCAAGAAAAGGATAAATAACATTTTTAAAGGCATATAGAAAACCATAGCTCAAAAAGAATTTAAATGGAACTTCATGGATTGAAAACAAAAGAGGACTACACAACTAAACATCATAAAGTTAAGATCAAATATGTATCCTTTTATTCTTAAGCTAAATATAAAGTTGATAAAAAGGTTTATTCGGCTAACTTTTCGATGTCTTCTTCCTCCTGAGAGACGATGATTCGAGTCGATGGATCAAAGTCGTTCATGTTTTCGATTTGGTCTCTTCATCGTCGTATCGAGTCGAATCTTCTTCGTTAGAGCACCGCTGGGTTTCCTCGTTCAAGACGAAGACGTCGAAACGTTAGTCGAATAAACCTATTTATCAACCTCGTGTTAACTCACCAGTGAAGGAGCACATATTGATTAGTGAGGCCAATGCGAAAGGAAAGTCGTTTTTTGAAATAAGATCAGATAATGTTAACCTTTTATTTGCTATTTTGATTTCCATGGCAGGGTATGATGTGAAATACAATCATTACGATGCTGACATATTAGCAAAACTTCGACCCCGGGCCAAATAGACCTATGATTACCTTCTAGAATCCACGTGTTACGCAAGGCACCACTGAGGTCCTTGATATGTCTTTCTCTCAGCCAGTTTTCTGCCTAACGCTACCATTAGCAATCACTCGTCAGCGGGATTAATATGAGGAGCATAAATCGGCATTGAGCCCAGTTAAGGTGAAGCAGTAGTCGAAATCACAATGTTAACCTTTCACATGCTACCAAAATTTTAGGTCAGATAATTTCACCTCCTTAATGAAAGCGAAAACAAAAATAGGACAACATTCGGTTTGATTTTAGCACTTATGCTGATCAAAACAGACTCACTTTATAATCGATGTATGGACGTAACGCTTGAGCAGCCAATGTTTTCAAGGACGGAGGCTCGAGGTAGCAGTATTGACCACTATTCGTGCGAACAGTACTAAATCTTTCAAGAACACCACCCCAGACTAATAAACATCCTTCCTAGAATAAAATTTACACTTTCAACGAACGTGGCCTCACTAGGACTAGAGAAAAGAGCAACATAACAGCTTCCTACTTTTGTTATGGCAGCATCGTGGAAGAATAAAGGTGTTATGAGCTCAAAAGCCATTTTCTTCCATTGATGTGAATCCAGATTAAATGACCACACATCATTGTACATATCCACCTAAGACGGTTAATTGCAAAATGTCAGATTTCTAGTACATTGCGCTATATATATATATATATATATATATATATATATATATACATATATATGCATATATATGTATATATGCATATATGCATACATATATATACATATATATATGTACATACAGATGTATAATAAAAAAGCTTTCGCTTTGATGATCCCATCACTGACGGATGCATCATCCATCCGACTTCACTAGGCATCGTTAGAGGTGACTGAATGGATAATTTGGCCTATGCAATAACTCGCGATGGCCTATCGATGTATCGAGCGTTGTTATCCTCTAAGACAGACGAGGTACTAATTTGCTGACCCTGGAGGCACGGAAGGTTTGGTGTGCCTGGGCGGGTGTGGTCGAACCTATGCGTATTGTAGTGCGCCTCTGACCACTTTGCTACACGCTTCCTTATATATACACATAATGTATGTACACATGCATATATACATATATATGTATAAAAATCCACCACGGCCTAGTTAACACCACCATAATAGCAGAGAAAAATCCGAAAGACCTACGTGTCTAGTATCAATATCTTCTTTGTCAGCACTACATCCACCAACAAGAATTACATTTCTTTTCCATTTTGTCACAGAGTGACATCTGAAATACCAATTATAACATAAAGTCCCACAAACATCTACAAGAACCCATTTAGCATAAAACGACATAAACTTTCAAAAGCATTGCTTGAATGCGCCAAATACTTAAACAAGTATAAACACAAAACTTGAGCAGTATTCATGTATAGGATAAAGGACGATGTGTTAAGCACTGATCTGTCGGGAATCGAACCAACAACAGCAAATATGTTGCAGGACGCCTCTAACGACTACGATACACATGCACTTAGCATTCATTTAGTATATATACGTATATATATGCATATATATACGCATGTATATATATATATTTAATGGGTAGTACAAAGCAATATAGTGCAAGCTCCTGGGAAGTACTAAAATATAAACGAATGGAAGAAAAATTATCCAAGTAAAGCTGTTTTTCTCAGTTTTCGTTTTTCACTAACAAGAAGAAGCAACCAATGCCAAAAATCCCTATATTTATAGAGGTGAATTGACCTGTCCAGTCACTGCATGGTTTCTCAAAAACATCTCTCAAGAGTGGTATTGATCCAGCATACCTTCTTCCTTTGGGAAAACCATCTTCAGAAGTCCCACTTTTTATCAAGTCATCGGGATAAGTGTCCACTTCCATAAAAGACTTCTTCTTTGTGTCGAACACTGTTAACTATAAGCGCCAACAGTTATCTCCTATCTTCTAGAATGAAAGAAACTTAGTGTAAATATAAAAAACATACGGTGCGAAGTTCTGTTACATAATCCGGTCGACCACCTCCAAAAAGATAGATAAGACCTTCATGTAAAACAGCTTCCAAACGATATCTCCCCTCCATGTTCGGATTCTGAAATCAGAATGTGGAGAACATCACCTCATTAAGAGAACTATACATGTATAGAGAAAAAAGTCGACTTTTGGGAATACTAAGCCAATAAATATTTGAATAAAAAAACGAACAACATACAGCTAGAGCTTCACTGGACCAAGTCCACTTCCCATTTTCATATGCTAACTTGTCGACATCGAGGAAAAAGTTATGTCCTGTTGTGCCACCAATCACATAGAATGTGTTTGGATCAGATCCCTGCAGCATTGCCTGAAATCGAATTGTAGACTGTTCTTCGCTAAAATGTCTACTTGCTTCATCATGGTGGGTAAGTGAATGGTTGGTAATTTTCAAAATGAAGGATGCGATAGAGGTTTATCATAACTAGACCCGTGAGTTCGACTAAATCTATGTCAATATAATGGTACTGAGACGTTTGTAAAACACCGGACCGCAACGCAGATGTCTGCGGTGGGGATTGAACACACTGTTACTCTTTCCGAAGGCTGACGCGTTCACCACCACACCATGCCGGTCCTTCATTTCGCTTGTCTCTCCACCAGTTTCCTACGTACCAGTGCCACCAGCAGTCACCCATTTAGATCATGAATTGTCACTTCCCAGTAAGAAATAATGTAGCATGGTGGTCTTTTCGATCCGGCTGGACTGTGAGGACTGCCTCTGCTAACAACCTGAAGATTTCCTGACATAGTTTTTTCGGAAGTCCAAAAGAATTAAGAGAACTAAAAACAGGGCACATGAAGATAGAAAGTAGGATTATCTAAGTGGGGTGCTTTAAAAAAGCACAGATTCAAGTATAAAGGTTATCTAGAAATACACAATAACAGCTTCTACCTGTGACTTCACCATTCTATTGACCTTAAATGCGAATCTGAACGCTGCAATACACCGGTCGTCACTTTTTTGAGACAAAGTTTTGACTTACGTGACCATATGTAGCCAATTTCTCGCCCTCTACTGGAAGGACTCTAGAAAGAAGCGAATTAGAATCGTCATAGAAAGAAATCAGGTGAACGCTTGACGAAGTTGACATTCCAAAGGGGACAGCGGTACCACCGAATAGAATTATGTGATTGGAATAAGGTGAAGTCTGTGATACTAAAACAACGATACTTAAAACGGAACCATCGAGTTGAGAATCACTGGACTTACGAGCAAAAGAGGCTAGCGCAGTAGGAAAGTCACCTCGAACCTCCATTCTCGACCACTCATGTGTAAATAAACTATACCGCCACACCTAAGACAAAGTGTTTCAGCGAAGTCATCATTCAATGACGATGATCACATAATACAACTTCTAGTACTTACCTCTTTATATATTCTACCTTCTTGCTCATCAACAGTGCGATCAAATCCCCCAACAACGTAAAGAAATTGATCGTCCGTAAATATTCTATGTCCACTTCGAGGAGCAGGTTGATTATCTACATATATCTACACATTGATTACCTATACAACTGGCAACAGAGAATGACATGCTAGGACAGAACCTTATCTTGTAACTTGGACTGGGATGGCCCGTTTTCACTGGTTATGCAGAGCCCAGTATAATTTCTTTTTTGGGGCTTTGCAGGTTCAGCCATTGTGGTTCTATGGAGGTCAGCCTTGCCAAAGTCTGTCCCAAGGTAGTCGCCACCAAAGGCAGTCGCCGCCCTTGTGGATCAAAGTGAGATTTGCCACCAAGCGACTAATTTAACAGCAGTGCGGTGGTGGGTCTTGGTATCGATTTACTCTTAGCTGGCCTTCATGTTGGAAACGCAAAATTCCTTCTCAGTCTGGAAGACTCTGCTGAAGGGATGAATCCCCCACCCAGCTGTATGTGGCAGCCCGACACCGAAGAACACCTCCCAACCATGATGAAGAGGTAAACCGTTGGAAGGCTAAGATGCTGCACGATGAAAATTGTCTAACACCAGTAATAACACCACAGAGATTTACTATTGAGCTAAACAATCCAGAAGATGCGAAAATACGCAATTTACAAATGAAGTAGACGGTGAGCAACTGGGCACCCCGGTCAGCAGTATCCTACACCATCTGGCACGTCCACAAAAGTTCAGCTGCTTCATCATTGATAGATGAGAAAGTAAATTCCCCCATCGTGCAGCACAAGTGGGACCGTGTAAGAAACAAACCACTGCAAGGAATATATACGTGAAACGCAGCACTATACCAAACTGCCTTACATCAACAACCAAGTATAAAATTTCAAATGGTATAACAAGGCGAACCTTTGGAAAGAGGACCAAGCGGTAATTCTCTGAATGCCATGAGGTTTACCTCCTTTGCAGGCTCATGACTCTGAAAACTAAAGACTCAGAGCACATTAGTTCCTAGTAAATCTCCTAATGAAAAATATTGCTATGAATTTAAACCAACCTCTAGTTTCCCTCTGCCGTCTTTAAAGAAGTCGGACATACCGGGCAGGAATCGGAAGACATTCATTTCCTCAACAGAAGCAGAATCTATGGTTATAAGCAAGACGGGAAACAAATGATCAAACCAAAACCACTCAAGTTAAACAGGACGGCCAATACTTAGTAAAATCACTTCTAATCATTCAAACTAAACGAACGGGCATAAAAGAAGAATATTCATGGTAATTCAACAGACCAAGCAGTAGGATAAGGTGCTAGCCCATTATATAATATTCAGAAAGCACGTATTTAAGCGGACACATTCAGTTCTCCAGGTGAACAATATGAACTTAAGCATTACCACCAACTACGCTTTCCCACTATGAATGTCATTAAAAGACAACGAACGATTCCGATGTAAACGATCGAACATGGCGACGTGGGTGAACGATGTAGACCAGTAGGTTCCATTTTCAGTATTGTGTGTTAAAGGATAAAGCTCTCGGCGTTGATCTACCCTTGAGAGGTGCGCTACGCATCCGACTTCATTAAGCATCGTTGGAGGTGATTGAATGCACATCTGGCCTTTACATTAATAATAACTCGCGGTGGTTCACCGATTTATCGAGCCAGTGCTACTATCCTTCCAGACAAGTCCGGTAGCAATTTGCCATCCCCGGAGAGATTAGGCACCTGGTGAGCCTTAGGCGTGGGGATCGTTCCCATGTGTATTACAGAGCACCTCCGACAACTGCGCAACACGCTACTCAGTGTGTTCGAGAACTTTTTCTCACACACGGTGTTTAGACGAAAGCTCACTTCAAAAAACATCACTAATCACTTTGCTGTTAAGATAATTGCAAAACTCCGGACCGCAGGTGTCTGCGATTGGGATCAAACTCACCATTACCGTTTCCGGTGGCCAACACTTTCACCACCACATCATGCGACTCTTTCGTTTCACCTTCCTCTCAGCTAAAAGCTCAGTAGCTAACTTTCTCTAGCTTTCTTACCAATTACTTTGTTCAAACACTAACGACAATGACAGAGCTGAACTTAAACCAGAAACTAATTATCCAGTAGGTTTCAAAAATACTTCTAACTACTTCGAACGACTTGGAATGGGATAATATGGGAGTGAAAATCGATGGTCGGCAGTTACACCATCTTCGCTTTGCTGATAACATCGTCCTTATAACACTAAATATTAGCCAGGTGGAACGCATGCTTGACGACTTTGATAAAACTTGTGGAAATATTGGTCTTCGACTAAACCTCACAAAAACGATGTTCATGAAGAACGGATTGGTTTCATATGCCCCATTGACGCTCAACGGGACGAATACCTCTGAATGCCCCAGGTATGTCTATCTAGGTCAGGAAATCAATATGCTGAACGACTTAGCCCTAGAGTTCAGCAGAAGGAAACGAGCGGCTTAGGGAGCTTCCAAGAGCATCGAGGATGTAGTGAAGAGGACAATGAACACATGACTCCGTGCCCATCTTTTCGACTCAATGGTACTTCCTGCCCTAACGTATGCGTCGAAAACCTGGTCGCTGCGTAAGTAGAATGAAAGGTGACTCAGCATTATTGAACTCACACTCGAAAGGAGGATACTAAGAGCATCACGTGTCACACGAGTAAGGGAAGAGATTCGAAGCTTCAACCTGCGTCAACGATCAAAAATGAAAGACCTCATTCTATGCGCCAAAATGTCGAAGATAGGATGAGCCGGACACGTAATGCGTAAGAAAGACAACCGATGGACAAGAGCCGTTAGAGACTGGATTCCTCAGGATGTCAAACGCACTACAGGAAGATCACCGACTCGATGGTCAGAGTTCATCACAAAAAGCCTAGAAGAAAGATATGATGCTCGGCGAGTCCCCTAGAACGAGCAGAACCCACCGGGCTACTTTTGCACGGGATAGGAAAAAATGGAAGATTTACTGGGTCACGCTCGAGCCACTCGACGATCAACGGGACTACAGGTGGCACAGGTGATACAGGTGGCACTTCGAACGACGTGGCACGTGTAGCGCAGTTGTCTGCGGCGCCCTGCGATACGCACATGGGATCTTTCCCCACGCCCGTGGCCCACCAAGCCTTCCATCCCTCCGAGGTTGGCACATTGGTACCAGACTTATCTGGGAGGATAGCAGCACTGGCTCAATACATCGGTAGGCCACCGCAGGCCATTGCAAAGGCCAGATTTGCATTCAATCACCTGCAACGATGCTTAATTAAGTCGAATGCATGGACGCCGACAGCTTTATCCTTTTATCCTTCTACTTTGAATGACGATGTAGCTTGATTTACACTAGAAACTGTCTGTCATCATCAACACCATGTAATATAAACACGAAAACCATCTTACAGGCTTGTGATAATTGGAGAGCGACCCTGTTCTGTGATTGATCTGTCAGCGTTTAAGGTGCTTTAGACTCGAATGCGTAGCTGGGGTTGAATGAAGAAAGAAGTACCGTATTTGTATACCGTATTTGCTTGAACTAAAACCTTAAAACAAAAAGTAGAACGACAGCGCTTCAGCAATCTGGAGAGCTGCTTCGAACATCGTAACATCTAACTGTCGAATAAGACGTGGCAAGTGTAGTTGCGTCCGTTGTTTCCTAAGAGCTTTATCCAGAACCCGACAGACCATCTGACCCGTCCAGCTTGATTCTTTGAGATTTTATTTGCTAGTCGTTTTTCAGAAATAGTGAAATAGCTTTGTTATTGGCTACTTGAACGCTGGTCTCTTCTTGCTTGTACGATTAATGTCTATTTCAGGGCAATTTCTGGGACTTAAACCTATGGGAGAGTTATGTTACCCTGCCGACGCTTGCCTTTCTATTCCAGAAAGGCTTTCCTCAGTTCGATTTCATCAGCTGAAAATCGCACAGGAGACAAATCGAGCGGCGATGATGTTGATGCCTTAGAAGCCTATACGATGTTTGGAAACATTCGTAAACCCAAACGTAGTCCATTTCACTATACCGATAGGTTAGCTTGACTTTGTCCAGCATTGTCTTCTATAAAGTATGAAAACTGATAACACCAGATTTTGTGTATGCATTGGGATCAATTCATTGTACAGTCCGTTAAATCACCATGTGAAATAACGAGTGTAGTAGCGCGTACTGCTGTCTTGAGAGAGTTTACTGACGGTTTCGTAAGCTTCACTTTACTTGGGAGTAAAATACTATATCTAAAGACACGCAGTAGATTTCTACGGTAGCAGATTCGTAGGCTTTAGCCCATTGTTGCTTGCTAGGGTCCTAATATCGAAAGAAAGTGAAGGATGTTGAGGCTAGTGAGGAAGGATATTCCCATATAAGTGGCATTCTCAGCGATTTGTTCCATTTTGTGCAATGTTTGGTTTTCAAGATAGACTCGAGTGTCAAAATTTCCAGCTCAAAAAACACCTTACGATACTCTTTCCGTGATAAGCTGACACGAGGTTGATATGTGATCTTTATTAAGCCAACGTTTAGACGTCTTCGTCTTCATCAGAGCTGATGAGCCGATGATACAAACATCTCATCGACTTGTATCATCGGCTGTGATGAAGATGAAGACGTCGAAACGTTGGCCGAATAGAGGTTATATATCAACCTCGTGTCAGTTTATCAAGGAAAGATTACATATTGATTAGTCATACCGAGGTTAAAGGAAGGTCGATTTTGAATGGGACAACTAGACAGAAATTTAGTCCTTTATAGAATACTTAGGTATGTCTTCGTTCTTAGTTAACTATGAGCTCAAACTGCAATGAAACCTTAGGGGACAACATCGTGTCCTGCTTCTTCATTCCTTTCGATGTTCGAACTATGGGTCTCGAAGAATAAAAACGAAGAACTTACTCCTAATGGGCTCCAGAAAGTCCGTCTGTGTATATTTGAACACTGAAACATGTACACCTCGTTAGGAAATATGTGTACATTCTACGTAGATACAAGACTGTACATGTAACAGTGTAAATATTATCTCAATATAACAATGAGTTAATAAAGCGCACCGTGATCTGAGATATTTGAACGGGACAATTAACACATGCGAATTGACATCACCTCATATCGTCCCAAGTGTACTAAAGAGTTGCTTTGTGTTCGGCCTTTCCTCTCAGATGTTATTCTGTTCTTATCGTTGTGCGTTTAGGAAATGTGGAGTCGGTTATGCAGATTTCTCTACAACGATTTATGATCATCGTCCTTATGTATGGCCACCACTGCGAAAGTATCTCAGATTAAACCTCTATGTTGCAGTTGTTGGAATGCTGTTAATATCGATTGATTATGAATGGTTAGGACGACTTTTCGTGCTACTTTTGATCTTCTGCTTAACGATCGTTTCAGGTTTATGAGACAGTTCAGCTCCGTTGGGAAACAAATGAGACCGGAAGCGTCGCAGCTGAAGCCTGAGATGAGTGCTAGCGCAAACGACTCCGATAACAAGGTGTTTTAGCGAAAATCTGGGAGCTTGCCCAGTGCGAAACATATTTCCACTAAATATTTGCACAAGAAGTGTTCTGACAATTAAGGTTTTATCTATTTGAGTTTGAGTGCTGATCAACTTCACATAGAGAGGAACATGGAACATGTTCATTATTTGAAATATGTTGACAAGGAAAAGGAATATGTTTAAATAGTGTTACCGTTAATCCATTCCCACGGCGTACATATTTCCTTATGTTCATTCAGTAAGGTGCATTGAAATTATGTGATACCCAGACCTTGTAAACATATCATTCGTTACTTATGAATGTATTGGTGGCTATTTATTCATTTACTTTTTACTTTATCTGACCCGTCCTCACGTTTACTGTGGGATCCCAGCACTTCTCACATTCAATTCGTTTCCTGCCTTCAATTGTCTACGAAGATCTTCCAACTTTACATGTGGCTTCGGGTGCTGCTCGAGGATTTTCGTTACATCTTGAATGTCGTAGAATGCTAGATGAGCAGTTCTCCCTGGAATCCTGAGATAGCCGGGCTGAAGCGTTCCCATTGCAAAGAGCGATTCTTCCCAGACAAGTCCGGTACCAACGTCCCGACTCCGGAGGGACGAGACACTTGGCCGGCCAGGAGCGGAATCGAACTAGCATCATACTCGTGATGATGGGTATCACTACCACTGTGCTATACGCCCCCTATTGGTGGTTCTTACTTACCCGTCTTCACTGGTTGTTCGGGCCCCAGGATATTCTCCACTTTTTCGGAGTTTTGCTGGTTTAGCCATTGTGGTTTCCTGGAGTCCCGAGGTCAGTCAGGCCAAAGTTTGCTCAAGATGGTCGCCAGGCAGTCGCTGCCCGACGGTGGTGGTTCCTGGTACTGGTTTACTCTTTGCTGGGCTTCCTGATAGAAACGCCTTACTTCTCAGCTTGGGAGACCCTGCTGGGACGGTGAATCCCCTCAATGTGCATCGCAGCCGTACACCCAAGGACACCTCCGAGCTGCGATGAGGCGGTGAACCGTTGGGAGGATTGGGGGCTGTTACTTGGTTAAGTTGAGTCAGTAAGCGCACAACTAAGTTGGTCAAGTTTATAGTGAAACTCCTGTTTCCTATTAAGTTTTCCATTGGCTCATTCAAACGTATTCTTTATTTGCAGACTACTATTAGTATTCACGTACTTTGACTAGAACGATGCTTTTGTGAAAATCGTGCATAGAGAGGCTGTTGATTTTGATAATGAATCTAAAGCGTTTTATTTCTGATTTTTATAACCCCTTTTGTGGCGCGTGGCCTTTGCTACCTATCATCACCATAGTTGAAGATACACACTCTGTACCCATGGGCAGCAATTTTAACACATAAACTGTGGGACGTACTAGTCCACACTTCTAACTTTAAGGATGATTTATTTCCAAATTTTTAACTTTTTTCATTTACAGTTGGTCGTATGAGAACTTTACTGGAGTACTCTGTCAGCGCAGTTTTTAAGCGTATATTACTCTTAATTTTAAACGTAGATTTTATGAGTCAACTTTCGATGGCAAAACTTTGTATAACGGCACATACTGAGGAACCGTGGTTGGATTACTGTTGAAACCCGGGGATTAAACTGTTAGGAATCTGCTTTAGCTTGCATACTGCATACCTGCTTGCACACTTCTGTCAAAAGGCAATAGTTGAGTAGTACTCGTTTAAAAAAAAGGAGTAAAGGATAAAGCTCTCGGCGTTGATCAATCCCTAAGGGATACGTCATGCATCCAACTTCATTAGACATCGTTAGAGGAAATTGAATGCATATTTGGCTTATACAGTGACCCGCGCTGGCCAACCTATGTATTGAGCCAGTACTGCTTTCCTTCCATACAACTCCGGTACTAGTTTACCGACCTCAGAGAGATGGAAGGCTTGGTGAGCCTGGAGTACGGGAATCGATCCCTCGAGCCCATATGTATCGTAGGACGCCTCCGACCACCGTGCTACTCTGCAGTGCTCATCAGTAAAACAAACCGATGTAAATCAAAGGAAATGAAGAACGCGTAAATGAGATTTTCGTGCTGAATTTCTCATATATAGGGTTATTGAAAAGTAATCCGTTATTTTGCAATCATTGTAATTTATTCCTTAATTGCAGAAGGAATGAATAACAAGAAAGCATCTCGCCTGTGGTCTTCTTCGAAATTCTTTATGTCTACCACCATTCACCGCCAGCTTCGTAAGCCGCCTAGGAACGGCATCAACTGATTTCACCGGGAACTCTTGTTGGACGGAAGACAGCTTCTCGTACTCGCCTTTTAAATTCTTCCAAAGTCGTTCTTTCAGTAGAGACGTACACCTTTGACTAACTTGGAAGAAAAAAATGTCTCCAGTCATGATTCCAAGTCAGCATTACTTCCAAAAACTCCATATGAATGTCGCTCTTCAGCACAGGGTGCTTGAGAGTGGTACGATTTCCAAGCAAAGCAGCATTTAACCCCCTTCTGGGTCACAGTTCGTGAACACTGAGAGGGGAGCCCACTTTCTCTTGCTCTTTGACGAATTACCTTTTCTTGTGTTATGAATAAATAGTTCTCGAACACATATCTCTTCTTCGTATTTTTGTTGAGCAAACGCGAGGTGTTATTATTCTTTATTCACGAGTAAGTTGACGTTTCGTATCTCTTCATTAGTAACCTAACCCAAGTTCCAAAAAAAAGGACTATTCCACTAACGTTTGGGCACCTTCGACTTCCTCAGAGCAGAACTTATCAAATGCTGCTAGCTGATAATGATAACGACTGCTAAAGGATGAACGGTCCGGACAAAAACAAGCAATTATCAACGTACAATCGGTACCAAGAACCGTTCTGTGCAAGAGAGCATTGCCAAGTGAGACCGCTTTATTGGAGCGGTGGCCCACTTGATTCGACTCGATGCGATCGGAAAAACTTACGTTTGGTGAAGGAGCAACTGCACAATCGACTGGGATCAATCCGGCTCTAGAGAAGGCGAAGTCGCCGGATGGTTAGCCGAATAAAGTTATTTTTCATCAACTTCGTGTTACTTATCAATGGAAAGATGCATATTGATTAGTCATTCCAACCAAGCCTTTCAAATAGAGTTATTGAACAAGATGGACTATCTCCGAGTATCTCGGCGATTTCGGCCTCCTTACAACCGTGCTGTTGGGCCACTTTTGTGCGGTTCACGAGGGATGAAGGAAAATTGAGTTATTAAAAGGAAATTATTGATCTGAAGAAGAAGTTACAACATAGATTTAGTTGCCACACATCAAGTAAAGTGCCCAGGAAATTTGTGAATATCACATTAATTACTACATGAACTGTTATCACATCTACTGTGCGGATCCCGGCACTCCTTGCATTCGATTCGTTTTCCTCTTACTAATCATCCACAGAGATCTCCGAACATTTCGCACTTTGTTTCGGTTACTGCTTGACGACTTCGTCTTCTTTATAAATATGCTGGTTATGACGATTTTCCTTATGATCTTAGAGTTAGCCGAGCTAGGGTGTTCCCACGTCGTATGAAAAGGAACGTTGGAGAGGAAACCAATGTAGACCTTGCTTCCTGTAGGATGTAGGATCCCAGAACTTCTTGCACTCGATTCGTCCCCTCGCTTCCACCATTCGCCAGCATTATCAAAGTTTTTGCGTGAGGGTTCCGTTGCTGCATGAGGATTTTTAAATCTTCGTTACGAATGTTTTTAAACGCTGGTTGCAATTCTCCCTGGAGTCCTGTGATAGTCATGTTGCGGCGTTCCGACATGGATTAGAGCTAGTGAGCTAATCTCAAACAAGTCTAGTACCAATTTTTCAACCTAAGAGATAACGGACTTAGAGAGCCGAGAACGGGACCAAACCAGCACATGGGTGTACTTTTGACAATGTATGAAAAATAAATGAATTACATAAATAGAAAAGTAAATACTCTCGGGCGCGTCATCGTAATGCTTGAGAGTACTCTGCTCCTCTAACAGTGGTCTGTTAGAATGGATAAGCTTCGATATTGCTGATTTACAGTTCACTTCCATACTTATTTTCTCACTGAATTTTAGAAGCATTTTGAATGTTCTATGTGAAGATCTGTATACCTAGAAACGTTTCCAATAATCGAATTTTGGCAGTTTAGAGTGATGTAGACTCGGGCGCAAACAATAATGAAAAGCCCAAAAAGAAGAGAACTGGATTTCGAGAGCGTCGAATCATCGAGTATGAGGATCGTATTCGTCTTTACTCCACTCCAGACAAGATCTTCCGATACTTTGCTACGCTTAAGTTATCCGTTTCTTCCAATGATTATAATTCGGTGTATCATAGTCCATTACAAGTGTATTATTTCATGTAATTGACAAGGATGACGAATCTGGGAAATTCGAAGTATTTATGACGCCGGAAGACTTCCTGAGGTCACTTACTCCGGGCGTTATGCAACCGAGGAAGTACGGTCTCGACAGTTATAAGACCTACCAACCAGATGTGTGTTCGTTTTTGTATACGGTGATCTGCATTATTACTGTGATATAAATTAAGTGTAAGTATTAACAATCATAAATTAATATAAATGCAATAAATACAAATATTATAAGCGATAGTATATAATAATATAATATATCAGCGACAATACAAGCTACAATGTAATGATATATAAGCTGTAATAAGCTATAATACAACAAATGTTATATAATTAATCAAATATAATGTAGATATTTATATTCTTCATTCATGAGGGCATAATTTTTATACAAACCCAAAAAATACACGTCTTGCTATGAGATACGAATTCAAAATGATAAGTCCTCTTCTTATTCCTCTTCCCATTCACCTTTCTAACACATATCCTTCAGGCAGCCGGGGATCTTAGGACGGAAGACTGTTTATTTTCTTTTTTTGGTCAATAAGAAAAGTTCTTTTATAGCCAAGAAAGATTCATAATCAAATTCATTTTAGAAGTATAAGCATAACTTCTCGGACACAACAAGTATTTTCTATAAGTTAGGAGAAAACGGTCTAATCAGCTTCAGTGACTACCTATTTCTGATGACTTTACTGTCAAGTGAGTTCTTGGTATTTTCACCCATTCATTATTATTGACATCCGTACACTAGTCCATCATTATTGATTGATACGTTATACTGTTCCACACAGCTCCTCCTAGCGACTTCACACTTGCTTTCAAAATATTTGACATCAATGGAGATGGTGCACTGGACAAGGACGAATTTACCAAAGTTCAAGTACGGCTATCTTCACCAAAGTCAATTCCAAATTTCAGTCTAACCTTTTCAGTATCTAATTATGTCGCAAACAAAAGTAGGACAACGTCATCGCGACCACATCTCTCATAACACTTCTTTCCGTGTCGCCTCAAACTCTGCCCTTGCTCGTTATTTCTTTGGCGAAGACGGGAAAAAGATGCTATCTGCCTCAAAATTTCTCGAATTTCAGGTTTACCATGATATAAGAACTGTTCTTGGCACAAAAAGACGTATCAAAGCACTCATAAGTTCCGGTGAAATTAGGTCACTTTTTTACAGTGGTTGTAGGGGAGTTTGTACAATGACATACTCCGCATGGAATTTGAGAGGAGAGATGCGTTGGATGGTGTTGATGGTCGTATTAGTGAGACAAGTTTCGGCGAACTTCTACTTATGTATGCTCAAATACCAGCAAAGAAGCAAAAAATGATGCTTAAACGACTTAAAAGGAAATTTAAACATGGACAGGGTATAACGTTCGAAGAGGTATGTTCTATTCCTACCATTTCATCCACCATTTCTCATGGACTACTGTCATGTTCTAGACACGCGCTTTCTTCGAGTTTCTTTACCATATTGAAGATATTGATATGGCCTTGCATTTTCATCGCTTGGCTGGTTTCCCAATAGATGCGCAATTACTACAAAGGTGAGCTTGTCCTCCTCTTGCTCTTCTTCTGGACTTTGAGTAAGAGTATTAAGAGTGGCCAGAAAGATCACCAACATCGAACTCAGCAACCACGTCGTGGATGTTATAATCACTTTGTTTGATGACAATATGGTTAGTTGGACCTGCTGAATTTCTTCAAATCTTGGTGCAAAAGCGATCGTTTTAAGGATGGAAAGCTCTCAAATAGCGAGATGGTCGCTGTGATGCGCCGACGAATGCGTCGTGGATTGGAAAGACCACGTGATACTGGCCTTTTCCGTTTGATAGACGCACTTTCCATATGTAGCAAACGCGCCTATCAAGCCAGTCCTTTTTCGCTGAATTAGTCGTACAATATCCTCTAAATACTAAAGCTCTACATAGATGGTCGCTGAAAATTCTTCACAATGTGTAGCATCTCCAGAAAACTATGAAGTTATCCGTCGTAGTGTTTTCCACTACTTACAGCGCATGCAACAAATATATGGAATTATCTTTGACCTTTCAAAGAAATAAACGAGGATAAAGTACTTTATTGACTTGACAACACTCAGAGATGCACAGTAAGAAACTGAAAACATTTGCAAGCCTCTGCACTCATAACACTGCTGAAATTGATTAGTATAGACCTTAGAGTGGACGGTCACCTTTGTAAAAGCACTAGCATAAATTCACACTATAATTTGCAGAAAATTAAAGTCAGCACTTATTGGAAACACAATAGTTGTTTGTAGGTAAAGTTTAGGACCCGTATTCCAGTTTCCTACATCTAACTGGAATTTAAACAAAACATTTTAAGAACACAAGTGCCTACCATTTTTTTATTAAATGAGAGGAAAATGGACAGTGATATGATCAGTGAAAATCATAACAACATATGAAGTTAGTAAGCGGAAGTAGTCTACATATTTTGACTCATTTTCAGACATCAACCCAAATGGTGTGGCCAACCTGGGGGCGCGAAATTTGGAGGAGGTATAGAAGTGTTCGGTACAAACGGTATCGTAGGCGGCGTCATCGGCACCGTATTTGGCGTATACAAATTGGGCCTAAAACTGCTCTACCATGTTTGCCTTTATGAAGTTCCAAAACATGTGTATACATACATTACAAGTGAAGGAGGCGGTACGGAGAAATTTGGCAAAACAGGTGGAGGAGTGTCCCATTTACTTCTCGGAGGAAATGTTGGTACCTAAAATGAACAGTGGCGAACAGGGTTGGCGAACAAGGCTTAAACTAAAGTGCAACTCACCTGTACGGCAAAAGGTGCGATAACTGGGACTGGTGACGCTTGTGGGATAATCGACGTCTCCACGGCGGGTTTCTAAAAATAGCAGTAAAGCTGGAACAAAATTTCACGAGATGAAGAAAAGACTACCGGAACTTGAACAATCGGTGAAACTTTCGGAGGAGGGTGATTGAATACAGGTGGCACATAGTTCGTAAAAGTTTGTGAAGCATTCGCAGAATTCACGATGGAGACCTAGTAATAGTGCAACCTATGCAATCATACATTAGTTTAATTCTGTACCCCTAGAAATGGATCACAAACCAAAGAACCAGACGGTTTAGAAACAGGTGTTGGCAGCGAACAAGTAGCAGTCACAGTGTTAACAACAGATTTAGTAGGCACTTCCAACGTTGATTTGATTGGTTCCTCCACAGGTGGTAGCTGATCATCTGGTTGAACAGAAGCGGCTATCTGTTGCAAAACCAGAAGTAATACGGAAGTTGTACCAGAAATTAGATCCACATTTGCGCTTACGAAGCGACAATCTCAGGTGTAATAAGAATTGATTCAGTATGAATACACTAATATGCTATACAAAATATACCGTAACATTAGCTTTTTACGAGACATTATACTTAGGAAACAGTAATAACACGATAGCTAATATTTCTTACTTTTTGGTGTTCATTTCTTGAGCCTGTCGTTGGAGAAGCACTCTGCAAAGTAATCACCTAGAAGTCCTTTTCGCAGAAATTCTTTCAACTAACATAGAGTATAAATGGAATTTTACAAGGACTAGGAAGTATGATTTATAAGCAATGCACAGATAAGTAAACGTAGCATTATGGTGTACGCAAATAACACTACCGCAGGGATATCAGTGGCATGAGGTTTCTCGGTAGTACTGACTGCAGCAGCACGTGCACTTGTCGATGACGCTAAAAAAGAAATTCAGCCATGTAATATAGCATAATTATAGCAATATAGTCCGAAATATACAGCAACGTAGTTGCAACAAACACGCGAAACACACATTTTCTGAATGGCTCATCTCCATAGCCACCACTCCAGAAACCACGTTTCTTGCTGTACTTACTAGAATACCAAGGCCGTCCTTCTTCATTAAACCTGCATACAGGTTAATGATATCGAGATTTTTGCATCAAAAACGGAAACAAGAAAAGAAAACAAGTGGGCGGAGATAGGCGGTAGTTGAATACGAAGGGGAATTTCCAAAAGAAAAAAAGAATTTAAATAGTACTAATTAATTAATGCATTAATTAAAATTGCATTAAAATTAATGTAACTAATTAATGCAACTGAATAGTTACTTCGCAATACGGTCGATGGCAATCTGCGCATCTTCCATCGCTGGATCAACATATATAACACTCTCAAGGAATTCGGATACAACAGGCATTTCCATAACAGCTAAAAAAGTACCATTAACGAGGAAATCAACCACATAATAATTTAAAACACCTTTTAGTTCAAGGAATGTTTCAATCGGTACCGCAGCGGTCCCTTCGCCTCTGTTTTGCCGAAGATGTCGAGCATGGCGTTGTTGCATTACTTCGTCAGAAGGAACTATTGTAACACACTAGAAATGATAGAAAGTCAGAGTAATGTACACCAGCTGTACATTCAATGTATCAGATGAGATATACCTACCACAGTACAATTCGGAAGAAACCAAATAGTCCCAGAAATCAGTATACCTGTCGGAAAAAACCTTCAAAGAGACTGAGACGTTTTTTTCTCGTATCTGGATCGCAGTTTGTAAAGTCAAGAATGTAATTTCTTCTCCTGCGAGCAGCCAGAGATAACAATCTAAGCAACTCTAATATCATATCAATACGCCGATGACCGAAAGCCGAAAAGTTCCATTACCTGTTTCTGGCCTTTCCCACAAGACCTAGCACCATATCCCATCTTCCTATATGACTGCTATTTCGTGAAACGCCATTCACCTGCAAAAATATTTGATTCATCATTTTTAGTCGAAAGAGAAAAGCCTTGTGAGAAAACAATAGGAAAAAAACCAAAAAAAAAAAACAAAAAATAGTCCAAAAACGATTAAAGTAACATCTTATATTGAAAATTCAATGAATTTACTTTCATGGCTGCCAGTATAGTATCGGCGCTTATCAAAGTCCAATTCTCGCTGGGGTGCTCTCGTATGTAACGACGTACCCAAGTAGTCTTACCAACGCTTGGTAATCCAACCTAAAAGTTTTTTTTTTTGCAGAGACTGTAACTATAATAAAACACACACCAGACAAAAATTCGCAGAAGAATAGCCCTTTTTATCATTCCTATATATGGATAATCGACAACCAAACCTTTCACATAGAACACATGCAGGATCGAACACCATACTTTAACACTTAAATTCAGAAAGAAGCAAATAACCCACCATCATAAGAACGGTGCAATCAGATTTGCTTTCAGGTGGAAGTTGCGCCCGTTCCGTTTGAGAACATGGCAGGGAATTAGGGAAAATCCATTCAGGACGACTAAAGACTCACTTTTTAACACAAGAAAATATTTATAATAAAAAAAGTGATTTACTTATTCCATTCCTCTTCTCCACCTGGAAAAGTTCCAAAGTTAACAGATACACGACAGTTTTTAACACAAATGTGTGGATATACTGTTTCGTTCTCAGGTATGGTGATATTCGTAAAAGCTGGGCCCATACTCTCAGAGTTCTTCCAAAAACTGATGACTCCATCCACCAAATCCTGAAAGAATCACAGGTTGCTGCAGTGAGGAAGCACAATTTATAACTTGTTAAAATGAAAAAAGTCATAGTCTACCATTTGCGCCGTTATAACGTCTCCGATTGTGAAGGAATCTCCATAATCGGTGAATATGTTATTATTAGCACGTTTGCCAAGTGATGTATAGCAATAGGATCCTGGGTATTCTCCCAGCTAAAAATATTACTTAAAACGCGGATTAAAATAAAATTATAATAGCAAAACTCTAATTGAAAAATCGATACCACGAGCGGTGCCGATCGAAAAGAGAAACCAACACGGACGTCGTTAGGATCTAGTTCATCAAATGGAAGATGTTTGGTTGGTAGTAACTCTATGATCTAAAAAATAAATTATAACAAGAAAAATGCTTTTATGGACGAAAAAGCTTCCAATCACCTTTATTTGGAACACAACCGATCCCAAAGGGGTTTCCTCTGCTACTGAGTTCGTCCCTTTCCTGTAAAAGAAAAAAAGTTTAACCAATAATCAAAACGTAATGGGAAGAAGTGAACGGTCACACTGCCAGAAATCAAAATCATATACTCCTTACCGACACGAAGGAAAAATGCCGTATGTACTTTTTACGCCTCCCCACATTAGTGCCAAACCATCTTGGTTGTCTGGATCAATTACCCAGTCGTCAGTAGGGGATCCTTTTAGATGTAAGTCACCATTATCTGAAACCATTTCGCACTTCATACCTGAAGTTCAGTGCAAGCTCAACTTTTAAAAAAGTATTTAAATATGTTTATAAGCACATGATGTACCAAATTCCTCAAACAGTGTTCAGCGCATACCTTAACATAAGGCACAAACTTACAGAAATCTATCTCAAATTTCTCCGTTGACTCGGGAATTCGTTCCTCAACTATCACTTCTTCTTTCCGCTTCGGTTTTAACCCAGCAGCGACCTGATCAGAACGGTATAACGCAAATAAGCCAAAATCTATCCCAGAAGCATAGAGAAGCGAAAAGAAACCTCGAAGAGCTCGTCGTCATCAGGTACAGGTTCTCCATGAAAGCTATCCATTGGTTGGACACATATCTCCTCTTCATAATCATCGTCATATGGCATTTGAATGTACTGGTTGCCTAAAATAAGGTACGAAATAAAGCACAAATTATTGTTAACAACGGCAGAATGGGAGACATTTCAACAAATCCACCTTGTCCACTTCCCAATCCCTGAAGAACAGCAGAAGCTCGCTGAAGAAGATGTCGAGGATCATTCAAGATTTTTGGGTCACTAAACAGAAACTGAACGTCAAGTTAACATTTAGCCTTTGACGTCTCCAAAAGCTTATAAAGACCAGAAAGTACTGTATTGGGATGCTCGACTTTATTTAGGATCGACGACAAAACAGCCTGTAATATAGGTAAAACTACACAGAACATTTGGAAAACCCACGGTTTTTCCTCAGTTTCCACGTCATCAATCGTAGCCTGTGAATGTGGTTCCGCAGAGGAAGTGACCTCAGCAACATGCGATGATTTGGTGTAATCCAACTGTCTATTCTCTTTCCGACTACGTCGCATTATCTTAACAAAATTTCCGGATTCGTTTTTGCGAAATAACGATTTCTTTTGAGATTCTCCATCTTCGCACTCTGAATCCTCGTCCGAATCATCCGAAAGTGACTGCAAATCACTGGCACTATCCATTTCGTCTAAAATTTCGCCTTCGTCGACATCGTCGTCCAAAGTTGGAGCGGTCTCACGGTTAGGTGAATAGTGTTCTACTGATCTATGAGAATACTCTTCGACTTCCATAGAACTGGCCAACTCCGGCAGATTCAGTGAGGAATCCAGTTCCTGAGAATAATGTTAGTTATTACTAAATTTCTGAACATTGAAGACCGAAACAGACCTCAAGAGTCACATTTCGAGAAACAACAGCAGAGGGGACATACGCCTCAAATTCTCCAACAGCTGACGTACCTAGTGGGTCATACTCCTAAAACATTTTGTCTGACAAAAAACCGAACTAAACATAGCAGAATGTGTAAGTTACTACCTCATCAATTTCCTCAACTTTCAATTCATGAGAACATCCAGGCTTGTTGCTGTTGTCGTCATAAGAGCGTTTTTCCAACGATTCCACACCTTGAGCAGTAGTGGGAACATCGTTATGTGGGTCGTGAATAACTGGCCGCTGAGAAAATGGTATAGGAACCTAAAAACAAAGCAACAACTAATAAAATTATGCGCATAAAGCACAAAATGCTACAAAGATATCAAAACTATGCCACACCTCTACAACAGGCAGTAATTCTCCGCTAATCTCGTCGAAAGGTTTTATAGATGAAACAAGAAATACAACATGGTCCAAACACGTCTTGACATCAGCTAAGACTAAAAACGAGAATATATAATCAATTTGATAAAAACTGCAATTCCAGGAAAACATACTTGCGCACTGTTCTACTCTATAGTAGCTCTCATCTGGACTCGGCGGTTCTCTAAACTTCTCCAGATGATGGTTGTCTCAATGAAAAAGGATAAGCAACAACTGACCTCTTAATCTCCTTGACAACTGTGGAGTCCTTCTTCAACGGCAATTTCTAAAATCACGTTATTCAACAAAATTATGGGGAAAAAAGTTTAGACAAACGCACAGTAGCAGTAAAACATGAGCGAGCCGGCTTCAGTCGTTTTGGAGGAGGCGGAGGAGGAGGAAGATCCCCAATGACGCTTATGCGACGACGTGGAGGAGGTGGAGGAGGGATATCTTTCGATGAAAGCTGTAGAGGAGGAGGAGGCGGTGGAGGGACGAGAAGTTGCTCAACATCCACATTCACTGTACTGGTAATCTTGTTTGAACACTTCTGTTGCACTGCAATTTTACGAGGTGGTGGTGGCGGAGGAGGAGGTAAGATCTGTGGACTTTTGGGAGAACTCTTGTCCGAATTTGAGTCCATACATGACAGTTCAAATCGTTTGTATGCCTCTTCTGCCGCGGAAGACATATCTGTAAAAGTCCTATAGGAATAACCCCTCACAGATCATCATCAGACGTACAAATTTAATTGAGACATAAAGCGCTGACCTTTAAGTCGATCTGACGAGATGTTCACCACACTTGCATCGGAGTGATCACTTTTCACAATTGTTTCTGGATGATCCACTGGAGAGTTACGATCATCCGACTTTCTCATGGCTTGTAGGAATTCCGACTGCTGATTCATTATTGAATCCAACAGGTCAGGTCCATCACCCGGTGCGTTTTTTGTGGTAACACTTGCTTTTTTTGAAATAGCATCCATAGATCCTAGAATTCACCAGAAGCTTTTAAAATTTCGGTATAAGACAAATGCATAGATTGCATCCTTACCACCCGATCCGATTGGTACCTTATTGGTGACCAGTTTCTTTTGTGCATCTAGATTTCGTACTTTCCTTTTTTCCATCAATATTGTTCCAACAGAAAACTTTTCGGGACAGGACTTTTTCAGCTGAACTTTTTGCAAGTCGAAATCATTTAAATTGAAAAAAACAAGTAGGAGTACAAAGATAATAATAAGAACCACGATTTTGAAAAAAGCAATTACGCATTCATATATTCAAACAAAAGACAGTAAAAGAAAAACCTCGGCTAGTCGCTCAGCCCATGCCTCTGTGATTGGCTTTGACATTGATGCTCTATCAGGTTTAGCTCCACCTACCACGCTTTGGAATCTGAATAGAGATTTTTTCCACTTATCTTCATGAGCAGGAAAGGCATTTACCATTAGTCAGTTAAAAAAAGACATTAAGAAACGTACTTCTTTGAAGAATGACGCTCTTCATCAACCTTTTGATAAACCGTTTTTCTCGCTGTAACGTAATTCAGTATGTACAAATTCCGATAAAAGTTTGAACTTTAAAATAAAAACTGTTTTGACAAAAAGCGTTAATTCCTGATTTCAGGCCTCACAAACCACAACGAATGGGTTACATCATCGTTTCTAAATAATAATTGACGACCAAATTCTGTTATACAGAGCATCATTAGCTATAAAGTCCACATAATGATTTGCACTATAGGACAGCCTTCTTCTCTTTAGACAGGAACCAGTATTTCAAACGGTAAACAACGTATTTCTTATACACTTCACAAGAACAATAGCAAGATTGTAGATACACTACACTCAGTCATCCCAGCATGATATAGAAGGAAACCAATAATCAACGTTAAAACTCAACTCATGGAAAACGGTGGCCTGTTGAAGCACGAGTCAAGACTGACGACTACCCTTTAACCAAGACCATGATTTATAAATACGTTCGGCACAAGAGGGACTCAAAAGAAAAGAAAGTAGCTCAGGCCTCTTTCCAGACACTCAAACAACTTTGTGCTCTTTGTGCTAACTTTCCACCTAGACGAGTTCTACAAAGTCCACAGTTCTAACGCTCTAACAACCAGTTAAGAATACGTTGATACTTCAACTCCTTCAAAAATCTGTACCTGGTGGTGCAGAGTCGATCTCTTACGAAATATAAGCATCACACAAGAAGATCGACTTTTGAAATCATATCTAGAGTTTCTAGTATATACGAAACTAAAGGCACTGATTATACGGCACCAATCGAAAACAGAAGATAGAGAAAACGGCACACTACAAAAGGAACAAAGCTCTCTCAGATCCCATAGAAACCAGGCAGACGAATTTACATTAACCACCCATACCGACAGTTTAACACGAAAACTGGATGAGGAAGCTTGTACAACGGCACTGTCTACTACAGCCCAATAACATAGAAATCCGAAGCGAAAAGAGGAATTCATGTTTACGAATAGATCATCTAACGTGAACAGCTGCCCAAATATCCAAGTTTCAAGCCTCATAAGTAACGAATCACCTAAGAAAAAAATTGGCTAGCTATTCGGAGAAAGGCTCTAGAGTGTGCTACCTTCACATAAAGTTCATAAATTGACGAAAGGAGGAAACTTTGTAATTACGTAAAAACCGGAGAAACACTGTTGTCTTCAAACACCAGATTCTGTTACGGGTTAAAATGCGTAATTAGTCTAGATCACTCCAAAAAAAATAGCTACATCGAGTAAAAATGATCAAGAGAAATGTGATGAAAAACGAACATGATTGACCGCTTCCCTGCGTAGATCCCAGACAATCAGCGAATGTCCTAGAAATTTAAAAAGTAAGTTTGCTAGTCTTGCAAAATTACGAATGTTATGCTGACATTATAAATAATAACAGAAATATCTGCCAACCTTTTAACAGCACCATGGACTTTCCCACTACCAGACGATTCTTCACCGGATTGAGAATCGTAAACTGAAACAGATATCCACGCATGTACTTATTTCAAATAAACTGGTGATCCACTTACTATCATTGTTCGACATAGTGGACGTAGAAGCTGAGCTCTCGGACAGTCTTTTGGATACTTTCGCAGAGGAAGAAGAATCACTTGCGGATCCTTGTACGAAACCTCCTGTAGGAAGTTAAAAATTAGCAGAAATCTTTGAAAACGAACAGTAATGCAAATGAAAACTCGCCAGATTGTCCGCTTTCCACAGACGTAGACGAGAACACAGGACGCTGAACAAAAAATGAGACATTACGATTACAAGGTTCTTATTTATGAATGTTAGAGCTCTTTTTAATTGACACTTCTCTAAGAGCTTGTCTGAGTAACAGAAACTCTTACAACTTTTGGCAAAATGCTGAGTATAGGCTTCATAATTGAGCACGTAGGAGAAGGTTCAGCAAGTTCCTGCTGAAATGTACCGAACTCAAGTTATTGATAAGGCTCAGTGAACCAACAACACAAGGAAGTTTGATAATTTACTAAGTTCTTTGAAGGTCTGTCCTCGTCCGCGTGTACAGTTTCATTGGCAATGTCGCCATCCGTGAAAGAAATAGCTTGTGTTTCCTCCACAAATGCCACATCTTCTCCTGCAGATGCGCGCGGCTGACTTTCTTTC